TATTTTTTTAGATCACCATTTTTACCAAAGAGGTATAGGTGTTGTACTTTGACTTGTTTACAGTGTAGTGCTGCTTATCATAACCTTGATAGCCTTGGATGAAACAAGTGACTGAATGCTAACATTTCTGTAATGAATTATTATGACTGTGTAATAGAGAGGGAAAGAAAACCGTCTGATGAAACATTAAAAAACAAAACACTTGGAAATATTGCTGCTTTCTTTAGACATTCTATTTATGGCAGCCGTTATCTTGTACACAGCAAACGCTTTTCAATCGCATGTGACCCAAAAACCACTAGCAGAGGCCTTTCCCCCCAAAATCCCCATCCCACTGAGACCCTGGCTAAAACACAAACAACTTCTGTCAAAACACAAGGCCTCTGTGTGGAGCTAGCAGGAAGATCATAATGGAGTAAAATTCATGTCAAAATCCTCCAATATTTAGACTCAACATTGCATCACGTAACATAAGGTCATCCATTCGACCTAGCAGTACAACAGCAAAATAATAAATCCCATTCACCATAAAAAGAAAAAGAAAACACAGAAATAAAGCCACGGAGCCGATGCTACTTCCCAGCTTCCAGTTCAGCAGAGTGCCTGTCTTGCCTCTGGCTTGGCAGGCTGCACCAGCCTGCTTCATAAATACTGCACAACCAACGCTTGATGAAAACCCCCGCTTTTCTCATGTACAACTGCACTCTGGAGAGCTTCATTATCTACAGTATGGATAAACTGTACCTACAAACTGTGTGTGTTTGTATATTTGTGTCAGAGAAAGAGAAACTTTAGGAGAGAAGGAAGGAGAGGGTAAAATAAAGAATACCTGAGTATTAGAACAGATTTGACTAATTTGTTAAATGTCTATAAATGTCTGTTCTATAACAAGCCAACTGACACATGGGCCCTAGTCATAAATAAAGTGTGTTCATCCAAAGGTACAATCATTTCAGTCTGACAACATGCAGAAGCAGTAAGATTCATCAGGAGATGTGAAATGTGTTCTTAAAATATTGTATAATTATGGCAGCATGTCTTACTTTCTCATCCTTGTGGGTCATGATCTCATATAGGGCTAATATTTCCTATATTTCTCATTCACCGTTCCCTTCATAATTACCACTCAGTAGCGTACTTTAAAGCAAGTTGTAAAGTTTTTTACATGAATGAATCATCATCATTTTGCATTGTCACTGACTGCATAACTTTATTTTACACACTTAGTTAAGGCGAAGAATTGCATTACGCTTTATGGAATATAACTTGCAAAAAGTAATGTACATGGTACAAATTTTTCATCTAATTATGTAAACTTCTGAGGACCATTAATATATATATATACCGGTTTATACTTGACTGGGACATTTGTCCCCAATAATTAACGTTACGTTGCGACCATTGAAGCCCTTTTCACAGATATTTTACATCTAACCGCTGATTTAAGAGGTTGGTAATTGTTGGAAAGACTGTGGAAAGAAAAAAAAGATGGTTTCGGTGGGTTTTATTTTATTTCAGTCCCATTGTTTTGGTCTGAGATGCTGGTTCTCTAGTGCGACATCCAGTGGCAAGTGCATTTTGTATAACCTCTGTCAAGATCATACTGAAGACATTTAAGGCCTAAAATTCAGATTACTGGATTTTAGACCCGTGGACTAATTAAATGCTCAGCACCATCAGAGAGACAAAACCTAATAAAGTCAAATCTTCGAAAGACCATAAAGGAGCTTAAAGGACAGGATTTGCATTGAACTTTCATTTGTCAAGTGGCCACAAAAAATACATACAACGAATCAGTAATTTAGTAAATGATCCCATTTTGGTATTTTCTTCAACTACTTTGAAAGCCAAAGTGCAATCCATCTGTTTCACTTTCTCTCTTTCTGTGCCCTATATCAATCCCCATGTTCCTATCCCTGGTCCTACAGACAGCAGGGACAGGCCACAGGAGGACACGCTGTCCTCAGCATCTGGTCAATTGTGAGGTTTTTTTAAGTTTCAAAGTTCAATTTGTCATCAGTCCTGTCCCAGACATGACGGGGTAGAACGGGTAATGGACCTGTTCTAATAGTACAGATAGTCCACTAACTCAGCGTTCCCTGGATACCAATTAGCAATGAACAACCAAGCATCAAGAGTCAGACAGCTGATGTGGGACCAGCTCCAGCTTCCAAATGAGAGAATGAAATGAGGGAGATGGGACAATATGTGTGATTCAATATCAGGGAACTCTGAAAGGTGTACTTGATGCGTTGTGAAATGTTCCAGTGGTGACTCACCATCAGCCACACAGACTGCGTACAAACTAGTACAACCTCAGGATTGTACCTGAGGTTGTACTAGTTTGTACGAAAACACTAACTTTTAGGCTTCCTCATAAAAGTCTAAATCTATGGCTATTGCTATAATCCAGTTTATGGCCACTTAAGAATAGTGTTTTGTCATCAGCAACACCAGCACTAGAATTTTCTTTTAGAAAAACAGGAAATGTATCAGGTTTGGATTATTAAAAGCATGAGAACACCACATTTTATAAACAAATAATAAAAAAAATCTAAATGCAATAAATCTCGTCTGATTTTGAAAAATCCAGGAAAATGACAAGGTTTTAAAGCAACTTTAAAGCAACTATAAAGTGTGATGGCTAGTATGCTGGCACACTAAGTACCTGCACGTCCCACTTTGAGGTGTATATACCCCTCATCATTTGCCCTGTCAACTTCAACTACAGCACAAATCAAAAGCAGGGGATGAGCCATCTATTTACTGCTATTAAGCTTTTCTTTCTCAGTCACATTTTTTTGTCCCCTCTCTAGTCTCCAAAATCTATAAATGATATCAGGGCAAAGTTTCCAACAGAGGAAAAAGACCAGTGTAATCAGTCAGGATTACGCTGCTTCTTTAGGTAAGTCATACATGGGTGAGTACGACACAAGCTCACCCACTCAGGATGATCACTGTGAATCCCCACTGTACATGGATCACCATCTCTCTCTTGTTTATTCCCCCAAAACCTATTGGTGTGTATCTCAGTTTGTCACTAAAGGGCATAAGCACAACGAGGAGCAAAGACTGCAGGAGGCATTCATGGGTATGAAAGGATGGTCAGTGGAAGCATCACTTGTTTCAACGGGAGGACGAAAATAACAACATATCCAAATATGATCGGACATATTTTCATAATATGCAAAAGTGAGTGAGCGGGTGAGTGATATAGACGCTCTTTGTCAGCACACAAATTTAGTAGCACTTGCTGGGCTGGGCTTACAAGATGATTAATGTTTTCCATCCTTTTTCTAATTTTTACAATGCATTTACAGTCTTAGGTTTCCCTCCACACATTTGTGTTATCAAGTAGAGTATTATGACAGAATTTTATTTTTTCCATCTCTTCAAGCTTATTCCATGGCAATGTCTTACTGTTCTTCAGTGATTATAAATATGATACAAGCACAAAATACACAATTTGATATGGGTGTAAGTATAATCCTGCAGGCCACATCTGAAAGGTGCTCTCAGTCAAGTCATGGAGCTTCATTTGATAACTTATAATTGCAAAGTAGTCACTAGAGGCTCATTGTTGAGGTTAAGTTAAACACCATAGACTGTACAGACAAAATAAATATGTGTAGTATTTATAGATACAGGAAAATACTATTTGTAAATTGTGTAAATTAAGTTAACATTGCCTGTGTGCAAAAAGGTAATATATACGTATTTTACAAACAACTTCAAACTATGGCTGAACCAAAAATATAAAACCATTCAAGTAAAGGAAATTATTTGGGGTTTTTTTTTTCAGTGTGGCTGTTATCTGCGAGGCTGCAAAAGCAACCAGAATGCATGAATACAAAGATAGATATATGATGGTATGCCAGTCCACAACCTAGAGTAAATCAGATGCATGTAGTGTTACCTACACATCTTTACACTTGCCAGATGTTGTCCTGCTGATTCTAGAAAACAATCCTAAACAGTCTCACAATTAAATGCCCAAAATAATCGTTTTTCAATGAAAAACAACCCAACAAAATTTAAGAAAGTATGAAATCAGTGCTATTTTGGGATATGAGCAGTTCAAGTTGGATAACAAACAGGGATGTGCTTCAAGCTCATCGAAGCAGTATTCAGGGCAGAGCACACCCACCTCATTCATGGATTTTTGGCCACATCCAACTAATTATTATTGGCCAAACTGTAAACATCTACCCTTATTACTACACCTTCATCCACCTATTCCCTAGACTCAAAATTTCCACAGAAAAAGTCCATTAATCTCCATGTCCAGAGCTACTTATAGGTTTCATTTTAATTAACAGAGTGATGTTACTCGGAACTCACACTGCAATAATCATACAACACAAGAGGAGGTTCTTGTGAGGACACACTTGTATCAAATTTGGCTCCATCATCCGTAAAGTCTGGGAACACGTGCACCACACCACTGGCCAGCACCCACGATAAACAGAGGCTCTCAAAATATTTAGATGTGACCTCCTCACGCCTATGCATGCGCGCGCGCGCACACACACACACACACACACACACACACACACACACATGCTCACAGTAACTTGGCATGCTAAGTGTACCATCCATTTGCTTATCAGCAGCACAAACACAGTGCACAGCACAATGATGATGACCAAATTAACAGCAGTGTCAGAGCGAAGGTAAACAGCAGTGTTTGCGCGATGTGGAGGTTCAAAAACACAACACACAAAAAATACTACACTGGCAATGGCTCTCAGAAAATGAAAATGAAGGCATATGGAGCAAACAAATAATTTGTATCATCATAATAAAGCTTGTTATTACAGTCTGTGTTGTCCCGGCTGGTCCGCTGTGATGAAGGAGACGCGCGTAAAGCTGTAACACATGCCATCAGCAAAAGAGAGAGGATACCAAAAGGCGTTATGGGGTCTAGTTGAAAGGTCATAAGCAATAACAAAACATTCTATATGATCTGGTCCAGACGTCCAAAGTTGGCCATGTCTTACCTGGTCCCGCGGAATGCAGGGCAGCGAAGTCCTGCGGTGGGACTTGCTGTTGCTCTGACTGTGAGCCATCATTTCCGAGGCCGCTATGGAGCTGGACCTCCGTCTCCTTTTGAAGACAGGGATGTCCTCCTCCTTCGCCCCGGTCACAGAGCCACAGCACCCCGTCCCGCTGGTCCCTGGGGCCGGCAGGAGCCGGTCAGCATACCTCGCAAGCAAAACCCCCAGCAGCCCCAGCAGGTAGGCCAGGTAGGGTCTCCAGCTGGCCCGGACTCTGCTCAGAGAGACGAGGGAGACGGCCCTGATGACGCTAATGAAGACGAGGATGGACACTCCCTGACTCAACCGGACGACCAGCAGAGCCCCGCTGCCCAGGCAGCCGAGGACTATCAGGGTGGCGGGGAGGGACAGCAGCTGCTCCTCGGCGCCGCGCAGGACGGACTGCGCCGCGGCTTCGCCCAAGTGGCACACCGCTAACAAAAAAACCGCGGTGCGGACGAGCAACCCGCAGCGAATCAGATACAGCCCGACCCAGAAGAAGGCACATACGAGTGTAAAAACGGGGGAGACGCAGTAACACGCAGTACAAAACAGGTCCACAGCGCAGTCCGCCGCGAAATGAAGACGAGAGTCGGAGCCGCTGCTATTTCCGTTGCTGCTGCTGCCGCTGCTGCTGCTGCCTGCATCCCAGTCGACCAATCTGAGCAGCAGAGCGAGAATAACGGAGACGGAGGCAACGCAGACCGCAGACGACACTCCTCGGCAAGTCCATGTCACGGCGAGTCTCAGCCACGACTGGCTCCCTGCGTCCTGGTACAACGGGGTGACACATGTCTTCACGTAGCCGTTGCGCTCCAACGCTGCCCGGGGATATTTTTCATGAGCACTTCTTGATGAACCTCTGTCGATGTCTGCCTCCAAGGCCATCGCTGTCAGTCAAGCGGAATGCCGCGCTGACCGTCCGAGAAAATAATTGATTTAGTCTCTGTGTGAGTGTCTACATGTTCCACCTATAATCCCCATGATCACGCACGCTCTCTGCGCGCAGCTGACACCAAAAACATTGGTCAGAGGATGTTTGCCTCAAAAAACAAAAGTTCAATAAGTGTGCATATCAGTTAAAAGCTGCCAAATGATGGGGTTCACAGGTTCTCTTTAGGCGTGTGGTTCAGAACTTCCCCATTACATTTGGTCTATTGAGTTGCCCCCTGATAGTCAACCAGTGAACCAAAAACGCAAACTCTGGCGTTTCACACATCTAGGCCACTGTCTCCACTCCTACACAAAGTCTCTCTCTCACACCCTCTCTCTCCCTCTCTTTCTCTCCCCTCCCACTAGACACTATCCCTCTTTTTTTGTGCCGCTCCGGTGATTCCTCCGTCACGTTTCAGCTCTTCCCCTGTGTTTCTGTTCATTTTGCAGGCTCCACCGTGCCCTGGATGTGACTCAGTTCGCAGTGGATGGATGCCATGTTTACATGAAGATTTCCTGGCTTGTTCTGGAAGATGGAGCAGCACATTATGTGAATTAACTACAGTAATCCTGTTATACATTTTAGAGGTATACTCCACTGTATGACGGGAGACCAAAAAGGGATATCATACTGGCACTACACAACTTTAAACTATATCATTCATCTGTCTAAGGTCATTCAAAGCTCTTAGGTCATATATGGAAAGCTGTCTACAGCCAGAGAAAGCTACTTTCTTTTTTCATATTCACTCAGTGGTTATATTCACCGATGTACCCGAAAGCAATAAAAGCACAATCCTACAATGAACATGAGCAGAATTTAGCTCTAATCATCTTGCTAACCATGATTTTTTTTTTTTTTTTTTTCTGGATTAAAATCCTAAATCACATCATCCTCTGCCTCCTGTGTGGCAGGCTGGCCGAGGACAAGTTAGAAGCCTTCACCTGTTTGCCCTACATTTTATGAGAGGATTTAAAAAGATGCACTGCAACAAAGTCTATCATCTCTTTCTGTAGTATTATTAATTCAAACTGGTTCTTTGAAAAGAAAAGTATTACATGTATTTGCTGGGCCTGCCACGTGCTTCCAATGGTTCAGGATGCTGGAGCTATAATTTGAACTGAAACTAGAAAATGTGACCATATTACACCAATTTTAGCTTCCCTTCACTGGCTCCATATCAGATCACACTATAGCTTTCAGTTAGTTGCTTATTCTTTGATTACTTCAGGACTTGTACCTATTACTGTTGTCCATCAGTCTCACTGACTCTGAGCTCTCCATATTTGTCCTGCCGACAAGACTACTGTAAACCATCTGAAATCCAAGCACGTCTAATATACCACGGGCCTACATCTCAGCATTTCGTTTATTTTTGTTAAGAAAGCTACGTTATTTTAACTGTTTAGAATATAATTTCAAATATAAACTTAACAATGGGCAAGCATTAGGGAGAACAAAACTCAGAATTTGCCAAAAAAAGAGACCAATCATCATCCGAATGGCTTCTTTTCCACAAACGTCCTGCAGTTAATTGTACAGTTTATCAGTTGTTCCGTAATGTTATTGTTATGCATTAAATATAATATATGAAATATCCATAAAATATGTCATTTAGTCAGGGGTCGTCAGTTTACTCAATGATAGAAAAGGGGTCGCTGACTAAATGACATATTTTTTAAACTAAAAGGAAAGGCTGGGAACAACAATCCTAGAAGACATTTCCTTCCTATAGGATTCTTCCAGTTTTTCCATGTTTTTTGGGGGCAAAATTTCCCTTATGTGAACCAGGAGTATATAGATAGAGGGTGTGATTTGTGATATTTGGCTTTATAAATTAAATTGACTTATTGGAGAATGCTGTATTAGGTCTGAATGAGGCTGAAAAATGTATTAAAAACATCTGTCCAATAGATCAGGTACAGTGTGTTTTGAATATGCATCAGAAATGAGGTCTCTCTTTCCCACCCATTAGTAGTTTGATGTTTGTGTAGTTTCTGATGTAACATAGGAACCGTGTTTTATTACAGTGGTGTTACACAACATGGGTCAGTATAATCAGCGGAGTGAAGTCAGGGCATAAATCTCATGTTTTAGTCATCCCACCAAAATGGATGGAGGACATTTGCCAGTACAAATTGTTCGTTCTTCGTCTTTGTTCTAAGCTCGGTAGGAACCTGTTTTGTAAGTCAGGAGGTTCAGAGGCCAAATAGTTAAGTTTTAGATTTCATTTATTTTACATTTTTTATACTGGCTGACATCTTTCAAAGTAAGACACAACTTTAAAGTCACAGTATTGTCCTATAAATGGTGACGCACAGGTGCAATAAAGGAGCGCACTCAGTCTGTGCCGGCTCCAGCAGGGTTCAGCCTCGTCTTCGCTCTTCATCAGCACTAACACAATGTAAATCCATATTTTGGCAAAGTTAGCCATGATAATAACAATCTTTGACCCTTGACCTCAGAGATGTTGTCCAGACACTTTCCTCCAGTTGTACTGAGGAAGTGTTGTAACAGTGTCATCTATCATTGTGAAGTACTTGAAGAGAACTGGATGTGAGTGTGTATGTTTCATTTTGGCTTTCAGGTTATCTGTTTGTGGTTGCTTACACAGCCACAGGTATACATCCTGATAGTATATATTTATACTTTTGTCATATGTTCGTTCCGCTTTATGTTCTGACCTGTCAGAGTCGGTACAGGATCAACAGGACTGGTGTAATGTATGTGGTATATAACAGGACATATCTTGTATGCTGTAGCTGTCCAATCTTGACGATAATTCTCATTAAAAGCACACAGAAAAAAACAGAATTAAAATTCTTGTTTATGTCCATGAGGTTTGATTTTGACTAAAGTGTTAAATATATATAAATGTCACTTTCGAGTTCCAGAGAACTTTTAACAGACAACAAGAAAATACTTTGCTAGCTCTAATCCCTGTGTTAATGTATCATATATCACATGCTAAATATATGTAGTATTTTTATATTAAAATCTCTCTCCCTTCCAGTATAACCATCACAAATAATCTGCTGTGAGTAGCTTATCTCGCTCTATATAAAACCACACATTAACTAGTGGGTAGCTAGCAAGAAAACCAATATCATAGGAGGTGTTTGTGATTTTCACAAATAAAAACTTTCTTTAGACTTCCAGAGAATGTGGTTGAGGTCTATTTAACCCTTCTCCTCCTGCCGCTCTGATGTTGGTGAAGGAGGTGAATGTGGAAACAAACAGTCCTCTACAGCTATGATTCGTCCAGTAATCGCAAAAGCCACGGGCACTTTTGAGAAAACACATCTGGAGCATTTGTTTTAAATCACTCTCCTATAAATACCACCAACACGGGAGTCCAAGAAAAGAGTGCAATTACAAATCCGTCTGCTACTTCAACACCATGAACAGTGCCATGGATTTGTCAATACACAGCACAGTTGGGCTTCTGAAGCCATGGCTGGGACTTGGGGTCATCTGACTTGCACAAACCTCAGTCAGATAAAGGATCAATGAGAGTTCATAATGCAAGGTAGACACTGTTGAATCTTCCTGATCTTTTCTTTTAGAACATTCCACGTGAAATTATTACAGAATACACAGATCTGATTGGTTAAGTAGCATCATGTGAGATGATTTACAAAGCATGCAATTGGTCTGTGAGTTTCCTGGGTCATTAAACCAGTGTAGTAAAAGGCTTGAAAAGCTGTGCTTGTTAAAATAGACACACTCCTTCAAAACTGACAAAACTGATAATTTATCAGTTATAGGTCCTTGTCCAAATAGGACGGGGTCTGGCTCCAGACCCAGGCGGTGGCCTGCCAATTAGTGACCTTGGTACTAGGCAATGGCAGGTTAACAAGGGGGATGTATTTCAGTCATTTTGCTAACAAGGGGGATAACAGCCTCTCTCATCCTCCCTCAAATCACCAACTGGTCACAGGTACAACGGAGCACACTTTGGACCACACCGAACCAACAGCCCAACTAGAGAGGAAGGTGAAAGGACTGCTTTTTAGCCTAGTGTTAATTTCCTCTTTAACCTAAATAAAAACTCACACTAATGCATTATAAAACACCAAATTAATGTTTTCCTTTAGCGCATCCACACTGCATGACATGGTACGTGACTCTGAGTTGCAAGTGATGGAGTTCAGTTAGGATCCAAAAAGTAGCCATTTTCCCCCCATTAACCCAGATATAATATACTGTGTTCAAAAATACACAGTATATTATAAAATAGCACTACAAATATTTTCTGGACACATGGCTCCCATTTATGGCATCAGCTTACTATGAAAAAGCTAAACACTGTAAATTTCCAAATTATGGCTGACTCATAATAATAACAGTTTTTTTTAATTTTGTTAGGGCTGACTAATTAGCTTTGTCATGGTTAACTTAGAGCTCTGGGCTCTGAAGATTTGGCCATGCATGCAGTGTTACACATTTTAAGAAGCTAGAAATACCCTCTGCACCACACAGAAAGGACACTAAGAGGAATGTGACAGGGTCGTGGGCCAATTCTAATCAAGAGTGGGTTTTGATTTCCCTTCTCTTCTCTTAAGTCAGGCTTTATAGTTAAATGGCGGGATTTCTGAGGATTACAATGAATTGCTCAAAACGAGTCTGTTCAAGCAATCACCTGACTGCTTCTAATTAGACAATAATTTCCAACTGTCTATCTCTCTCTCACACACACACACACAGATTCAAACAGGTTCATGGACAATGCATTGTAATTTATTTTGTGCTCGTGAAAGTGTAAAACTAAACTGAGTGCGTCACTACATTTATACCCTCACAAGTATACACATGGGTCCCATTTACAAGCCTTGTCCTACTGCACGTGTTCATGAATAAACTGCTTTTAGATATTATTAAAGCATTTGTTCCTGTTGTCATAATATTTTTGAATAATGGCATGTAAAACTATTCATCATGTTCTGACACACTGGGCCAGAGAGACGTCATTGGCCGGTTGTTTGGCTGCCAGAGACAACAGACTGCCTGTGCTCATGCTTGTCAAAGGAGAATGCAGACTAAGCTGCTGCCCCTCATATGTGTGTGCATATACCACATACATTTGAGTGTATTCGCATGTCCGAATGCGACGAGAGACAAGGGCCCGTGT